CAGAAATAATAAATAACAAGGAAAATGCTAAATTAGACAGACAGACAAACATTAATGAGCAGGTGATGAGAGAGAGAATAACAGAGGCCAAAGCCTGCCAGGCACTGACTGACGGGCCATTAAAAGAATTACTCCAGCCTTGGAGAGGGTCAGCCTCAATTTTGTAACTGATAAGAAGGAGGAAACATGGTTAGCATGAATATTAAGGGATATTCAACAGAGTTTGGTGGACTGCATGAAACTTAGTATGGGGTGTTATGGGGAAGGTCCACAGACACGGAAAGAGAAGGATCAGGGTGGAACAGGTATGGGAAGATGGTGAGGAGGGAGGACGGAGGGGTCGGACGTGTGAGCAGGCTATTGGGCAGGACGTTCACCTGACTGAGCCCTGCCCCTGACCCCTGCAGTCTGGCCTGTCTTCTCATTAAACCCATTCTTAATTACCTTTCCTGTGTCATCTCACCATCTACCCTGTGTGCCAGCCCCCGGCACATAGTCATCCGTCACCCTCCCAAATGCTGTTTGCAAGCATGCTGAGCTTCAGACTTGAAGTAAGTGCAAAGTCTCAACCACAACAAGAAAGAAAATGTGTTTTATTAAGTAATTACAACTTGCCAGCAGGTGCTCAGCGCAAGCAGGCTGCTAAGCAAGCAGCTCCTACAAATAAACACAAATCCGGTGGAACCAGGGTAACAGGAGAGAACCTGCACAGACCATAAGGCAACTCCATTCCCGATGCTTTCAGACAGGCTTCACTTCTGTCAGGCAACGTGCATCAACAGCGGTTGAGTTTCCAGCTTGTCTTTAAATGGTTTGAAGCGGGTCAATCATTTTCAACACCATTTGAAACAAGGGAACCCTGTTTGAAAACCGAAAGGCTGAAGTTCAAGTGTCTTCAGAGCTCGAAGTACAACTGTCCACTCAGGTACCAAAGTGAAAATGAAAACGCTCACACCGCTTCTCGTGCACTGCGTTGAGCTGCTGTGACTGTAAAGCAATCAAATAACCAATGTATCACTTCCAGACAATACCTTTCCGTAATGCATTCAAGTAAAGACTGAAAACACAGAAAACCAGCCTAGAACACACAAATGCAGCCTTTATTTCCCCGGTGTAACTGGGTGAATTCAGAGAGGTTGCACCCTTGCCATTTCACTTGCAGCTGTCAGACACAAAGCCTGAAAAGTAGGTCATGGAAAAGTTTGTTTTACCTCCTTTTACGAGCTTCAACAGGCACAGAAAGCATCTATTTTTGTCTTCTATAAAGCCACGGAGTGAATTAGAATTAGACTAAGTGCACCAGACTTGGGCAGCTGCTCAGCGCTCGCTAACGGAGCCCTGCCAAGTTCCACTCGTTGAGCTGCTGCACTGGAAGCATCACAGCATTCCCTGATAAGAGGAATACCAGCAGATAAGAAAAGCACCTTGGAAAGTATTTTCACAGAATTACTTTTTATTAAGACTCAAATCAGCAAATTAGCAGCTATTTTTATCTCTAGGCAATAAAATGGAGAGATGTGATTTTATCTCTGTCTTCTTGAAGTTGCGAAAGCTCAGTAAAAAAAGTTTTTGTAATGGTGTTCAGAAATAAGTTATTTATCTTGCTATGAACTGTTGTGTCACCCCTAAAATGAAGCACAGCTTCCCCAGCTTGCTCACTTCTGACACTTTTTCACAACTTAGCGACCTTAAGTTAAGACACAAGTAAGGTAATAGTTCTCAACACGCTTCCAATTGAGGTGACAGACAAGGCATTTCAGTTACAGATTTATCAAATAAGAGAAAATTCTGACACATTAAATGCTTCTGACAGCTTTTTTTGACTGAAAGAGAAATACCAGCATAACGGTAGCAGAGGAAAACTTATCAGTGCTCAAGTAGCAGCTTCGTGCTCAACGAGCACAGCGGAATACCAAAGCCACCTCAGGAAGAGCCTCGACAGGCTGGAGGAGTGGTGCGGTGGAGCCTCGTGAGGATCAACAAGGCCAAGGGCAGGGCCCTGCACCTGGGTCGGGGCAACCCCCAGTATCAGTACAGGCTGGGGGATGGAGGGCTTGAGAGCAACCCTAAGGAGGAGGACTTAGGGGTACGGGTGGACAAAAAGCTGGACATGAGCCACCAATGTGCGCTTGCAGCCCAGAAGGCCAACTGTACCCTGGGCTGCA